GAACTTTATTAGGTTCAGTGACATATTTTGTTATATAATGTTACTTTGGGCTTTTGTTGCATGCATATTTTTCAGCCCACCAGAGATTTTGGAGACAATTATAGCTCATACATACTCTCCAGCCCACCAATAATTTTGAGGACTACGGCAGCTAAATCATACACAATTCATTCGTCCCATCAGGAACTACTAGATAAAACTACAAGTGAACTTATATGTATTTCATACTTGAGAGGGAGCAAGGATGAGAGAGGAAGAGAGAGAGAGAAAGACATGAGGAAATTGGGTCAAGTAGTAACAAGTAATTAACTGATCAACTGAGAAACCATAAGAAGTAATTGAGTCAGAATATTTCATAACATGAACTTCAAATAATATATTACATCAAGGAATGGAATCACAGATAGGTGTTTACTTGTTTGCTATCAGGACTCCAGCTTACAGCATATATGCTACCCTTGTGACCATCTTGTATAGACAATTCCCCAATCTTTTCTCCAGTCTTTCCATCGTATAATATACCCTTCTTATCTGAGCTCACAGTTATGAACTTACTCCCATCAGGAGAAAACCGTGCACAATTAACAAAGTTTGAGTGTTCCCTGCAGATCAAGAAAATAGACAGACAAAAGGTTAAAAAAATCTCAGTATGGTGAAACTCAAGTATTTCCAGTATATGATGAAGGTTATGCGTATTAGATCATTTTGCATATGACTAAATCAACTAAAACAGAAAGAAATCACTCTAAACTTATTTAACAGCAATCATATCCAAGACCTATTCTTAGGATTCGTATTATTTCATGCAAAAAGAAATCACATGGAAGTGAGTGGCATACAATTTTGGTGAGACAAAACTATTTTCCAGTGTCTGAAAGGTTATGTATACTGGATGACTTTGCACATGCCTAAACCTACTAAAATAGATCAGAGATGATAGATAAGACTTATTCAGCAGCAGTCACATACAAAGGACCCAAATTAGAGCAATTACCATCTCATGCAAGGAACAAAAAACATAGAAGTGGGCTGCATATTCATATCACATGAACACAAGCAGGTGGCATGATTACAGAAAATGGTCCAAGTCTGATATCCAAACTATGAGGAAAAAGCAGACAAGAAAAGAAACAATAAGTAAAATATGACACCAGTTTTAGATTTTTTTTTTTAAAAATAAAACAGAGGGGACCTGGTTCAAAATCAATAAGTGAAATATGACAGTGTGTGTTTTCTTGTCCTGACATGACATCTTTATGTTTGATGTAGAAAGGGAAGGTTTGCTGCACAAGCAGGAGAACCAAGTTAAGAAATTTCCACAGTCTACTCAATATGCTGTTCAAAAATTCAGTCCTTGCATGAACATTCCTCCTCTTATACAGCCTGCCACTATTGCAACACGGTCTCTGTATTCACTATCAACCTCATATCCACCTCTTTTCCAGCTCTCACCATTGCAACCACTGTCACTAGCTTCATGACAACCAACTCATAGTTCACCTCCTAGGTGGTGGTGATTGGGGCGACAATGAGAAAAATAAGAATAGGGAGAGGTATAACAACAGGAAGAAACTATGAGGTGATAATAGGGCTAATTATTGTCAGCATACTAAATTCTTGTTAATTATAGGATGATAGAGTGCCCAAATATATTTCATGTACTTGATGGCAAGGGCTAATTCTTGAACTACCGAATAGGAAAGGATCATTTATAGGCAGAGAACCTTTTTTTAATCTATGTCCAAAGAATTCATTTGAAAATGTCTGGAAGCATGTCACCGTTCTGACTTTTGCTAAGATGTAAAGAATGAAACAAGAGAAGAACATCTCACTAAGCTTCAAAATTTTCAGACCATTAAGTACTAGTGCATGGGTAAGTAATTACAAGACAAATTCCATGTTTGAAGTGCCTAAGCAGTAAGTTATTTGATCATTCAACAATATTCTATACATACTGTAGAAAAAAACTCAGACAAACTGTAAGGAAACAATGACATGTTGATAGCTAAGAAAGCTGGATAAAGAAAAAGTCAGCAAAAAACCGCTTGGATCATTCTTGATATAACTGAAACAAACCTCTGGGAGAGCTTGAATTTAAAAGGTGGCCCTTCATAAAAGTTCACCAAGAAATCTTCACCGCATGTGACAATGCGGAATGGTCTGGTTGGCTTAAATGCACAACTTAATACCCTTCTAGAATGTCCATCAAACTCCCCAACATTAGTACCTGAATCCCACCTACACAAGAACAAAATTCCACAGCCAAAGCAATGATCAGACATTTACTGAAAACACTACTAACAACAGAAATAGTCTGCGAAGGAAGGCAAAAACAATGTTAAATTTACGAATTAGCATTCCTATGAATAAATGACCATTACTCATGGATTATGTTTGCTAAAGATAAATAATTTTTAAGAAAAAAGACAAACATGGCATCCCAAAACGCTCAGACATGGCTTTTTCTATTAATTTGTCAAAAGTGGCAGAAACTTTCCAGCAAGAACGAAGAATTTATAGTTATCCAGAAAAATAGATAAACGGTAAAATTCGAACGAAAAAAATATCAAGAAGGGCCAAAAGATTTTTCAATGAGTTTCATATGGCGGCAAAGGAACTTCAATAACAACCAGGTTTAGTGTTAATATGGAACGGAAAGGAAAGATCTATTTTCAAAGTGACATCAGCAAAGATCAAATCAACAAGACATATTTCAAGAACTACTGCATTTTGCGGTCTCGTGAGGCAGTAATTCTTCTCTGTTTTACTGGTTCTCATAGTATGAAGTATTAATCCGATCCAAAGTGGAGTCCAAAACAACACAAACAAAAGCCCTAAATCAGCCCAAACCATCTTATTTTCCTTGTGGGAGGAAAAAAATATCAAATTGGAAGAAGGGATCCCTCACATGAATGCCCGTACGAAGGACTTGCCCTTGCCGTCCCCGCAGGCGACGATGCGGAGGCCATCGGGCGACCACTGGAGGTCGTCAACGCGGCCGGAGAGGACGCGGAACTCGTTCTTGAGGGCGCGGTCGCCGTGCCTCCCCCAGATCCGGACTGTCCCAGAGACGTCGGCGGAGGCGACCCACTCGCCGTTGGGCGAGAACCGCGCCACCGTCACCTGGTACGCGTGCTCCCCGTAGATCGTCGCTTCCAGCGGCGCGTCCAGCCTCCGGATGATCACCGACCGCCCGTTGCAGTACGCGATCGAATCCGACCGCGCGTCGCCGGCTATGAGTATCCCCCGGCCGCGCTCGGTCGCCGGCACGCACGCGTACGTCTCTGACAGCTGCGCCATTCACCTTAGAGAGAGATCGAAGGAGAGAGGAAGCGAGCCGCCGATGGAAGCTTTTACAGTTAAAACACAAGACGTTGCTTCTCGGTGTCCCTTCGACACCCCAAGCAGTGTGACTCAAATATGCGGGGTCAGAAGAACTGACCACATTCCAACCCATCGGTTACCGGCACAGCAAACTTTCCACTGGGACCCACTAACGTTTTTATCATGTGTTCGACTTATGACGAACTTGTCAGGGAAGACACGTGTTGCTCGAAGGAATGTGGCGGTCTCTCGGTTTCAGAATTATTATTATTATTATTATTATTATTATTATTATTATTATTATTATTATTATTATTATTATTATCATTATTATTATTATTATTGTTATTGTTATTTAAACCGTAAAAATGTCGAATGTGATTCTGTTATCTTAAATCGATATATTAATTAGAAACCTATATATTCATTTTAAATATTTTTGACTAGTATTTAAAAAAGATTAATGATACGCTTATTTGGTCTCAGTTGAGAATAAGCGTTCAGAGTCATATTTATGTCATCTTTTGATCATTTATACGAAGATATAAAATTATATTTTGATGTTATTGATTGGTAATTGACATTGTGTGAGTGATATGGTGTCGCTCATTCGATATTATAAGTCATATTTATGATTATTATATGCTCTCCGTGTTTAAGACACAACGATTATGTTTATTATCGAGGAAGGCGTATAACCATTTCTAATATTAAGAAATGGTATTTTACAAAGCTTCCCATCTTATGGACGAAGAGGATATGATACATTCTTAATACCCATAAGAGATCAACATGGGAGTTGATGTTGAATCGATCGAGATCCTAATCAAACAATTATAATCTACATTAATAAAAATAATACTAATAAAAATTATTATTTATTATTGATTTAGCAATCTCTTTCCAATATCTAAAAGTAAAATAAAATGTCATGTCAAGCCCCAACTTCTCGCCAACAGATCCTCTAACTACGTGCTTAGTAGTGCCTACGTGCAACATGTGCACGAAGGACTAATCGTTAGATTTTGGTATAGAATCGACCCTTTCCTAACCATTCAAATTAACTTAAATCTTTTTATATTATAATATATATATATATATAAAACTTATTTAACATACATCACGCATTTAAGTTCAAATCTACATACAAAGTCTAATTCCAATTTGCATCCGAGTTCATTAGTAGACAGACGGTGAATCCTTTCCCAACAGCTTTAGCGGGACATCAATCAACAAAGAGATGTTTGGAAAGGATTCACTAACATCAACCAACAAAGCTTCATAAAACCCTAGAGATTTTGATCGACCGACTCCACAGCTTTCAGAGGAAAAGGTCCCATGAAGGCCGTGTTCTAGTCGAAGTTGAAGTCCCTGTGATGCTCCAAGCTAGGAGCATGGATATGATGAGCTGGTGACCACCAGAGATGGTTGGGAGGTGACTGCTCGGAACATGGAAATCTATCGGTCAGCTTGCGTGCGTGTGAGAAGAGGAGAAATGCGTACAATGTTTGGTTGCTTGCTTTCCTTCAAGCCTCGCGAAGACTTTTAAGTTCTACCACTGCAACTAACAAGCCCCAAAACCTATCCGTCTTCCAGTCAACTCCCTCCCTCGTCCTCCGACCTCGCTCCTATATATCCTCCAACATTCTCCTCCTCCTCATCCCTTCGCACATCTCTCTCTTTGCTCTGCAACAATGAGGAGCCCTTGTTGCGTTAACAGAGGCAACAACAACAAGGGAGCGTGGTCGAAAGAAGAGGACCAGAAGCTCATCGACTACATCAGAGCGCATGGCCGCGTCTGCTGGCGATCGCTCCCCGAGGCTGCAGGTTGGCGACGAGCACTTTTGCCACGAGTGTCGCTTGCGTTTACGAAAGCATCTAAAGCTTTTTGGGCTTCTTTCCTAATCAGGTCTGCTTCGTTGCGGTAAGAGTTGCAGGCTGCGGTGGATCAACTACCTTCGCCCCGATGTCAAGAGGGGGAGGTTCGAGGAGGATGAAGAGGACCTAATCATCAAGCTCCACGCTCTACTCGGTAACCGGTATGCATGCATGCATGCTTACTGACCGATGAATGACCAAAGAGACGTATATGCTCCATATTTGTTTGAATTGATTCAGGTGGTCGTTGATCGCCGGGAGACTGCCGGGGCGAACCGACAACGAGGTCAAGAACTACTGGAACTCTCATCTGAGGAAGAAGCTGGCAAGCATGGGTATCGACCCTGACAACCACCGCGTGATCCACAACGGACGGCTCCATCGATCTCACAGCTCCGGCAACGCGACTCGATCGAGTATCGACGACGCGACCAACGGGTTGCAGAACAACTCCAAGAATGGATTTCGTGATGCTGATGATCTGAACCTTGACCTCACCATCTCCCTTCCTTCTTCGCAAAGAACAGGTTCCGACCACCTCCAGAACACGGCCAGTCCTACGCTCCTCCTCTTTCCATGACTTGAGATTCCCACAACACTGAGATAGTGCAGAGTGTAACGATCACGTAGGTCCTAAGTTGAGAGTTCAGAATCATTGGTGTCAACTCCGAATCATGTAAAGAACCTGTGGGTATTTGTTGTATGAATTTTATCTTACTGTGTCTTATTCTTGCACATTTCTTGCTGTGTCGTTGGCAAGCAAATTCCCACACTGCATCGCCGGTCTCTGCTCCACAGGAGCAGACCATGCAGGTCGAAGCAGTCACTGTACACCACATCGTCGTCCTCTTGTTGATTGTGATCAGTGAGCAGACATCCCTCGGCGACACATTTGTTCGTCTTCTCCAGCTAAACGTTGGCACATCCAAGTCCGTCGTCCTCTCTGGCAACCCACGTCCATGATGTCCAGCATCGGCATGCCTTCAAATACCTCGTCCCTGTGAGGCAACACATTGGTTGGCACTGGTGCTTCTCCTTTTTCATCATTCCTGGAGAGTGAGGGAGCCAAGTAAAGTCAAAAATATGAACTCCATGGCAAGCGAATCTCCAGGCTAAGCCTTTAGGGAAGTAGTGTCAGATCAAAGTCAGACATAAAGTGCAGATGGCTGTTCTACCATTCTGCTCCCGAAAAAAAAAGGTCTTTGACAAGTAGTTGAGTAGTAGCAGTATCAAACAGGACTTAGAAAGATCCGTAACAACTGACAAAGGATCAATCGATTTGATGATCAATCATTATAATATATATATGTATATATAATTTAAGCATATAATCAAGAAAAATCTATCCCTTAAATCTGTATAAAGACACATTACCTGAAGGAACGAAATCAAGGCTTTCTTGCTTCAATCACGACTTCCTCTTCCTCGTTACTCGGCAACAACAATTCCTTTGCTAATTTTTATTGCCCAGTGACTATTCTTACTCTTCCTTGCTGCTCCAAAGACAATAACTCCCTCTTCCTCGTCGATTTACTATAGCATCAAAGATTCCTCTCTCTCTCTCTCTCTCTACTCAGCAGCATTCTTCCTGTGCCATCTTTTGCTCTTCTTCACCTACTGCCCCTGTCGCTACAGTAATAACACTGCTGCTTCCTCGTTGATCTGGAGCAATAGTCATCGTTGCAGCAATTGCACCGTTTCCTCCTCACCGGTGCCTCCTTCCAATCAATGCATCCTCCTCACACCGCAATGAACGCTTGCACTAACGAAGACACGCGATTCCTCTATATGATCTCCCATTTATGATTTGCTGTACATGCTTCGCCTCGCAAATTTGATTTGCTCCTCGGTGCTATAATCGAATATGAAACGTATATAAAATAAAGAAAGAGGAAGACTGGATCAGTTATCTATCTGTACGTTACACTATCAAATCTTGTCAACTTCAACCCAAACAATTTAGAGAATAACTTCAATCATAATAATTATTATAATTATCGATAACAAATTTAACATATAATAAAAATTAATCAATCTTAACCCAAGCTTACCGTCATACCTAGTTGGTCTCAAGCGAACATCAAGACTATCATAAAAGTTCATCTAAGTAATTTGATTATTGAACCACATGATAACACGTTCCAAAAATGACATCTTTAAACCACACTAAATCTTTGATATTCACACTATCACATACTTTCCACGTAGCCTTACTGAATCCACAAGCTTCACCAAAGCTTAAAAATCTCTATACTAATACAAAGCAATGTGTGAATAATATGATGTCCTACTCCATAATGTCACATAGACTCTTATACTATCTCACCTTACACAAAATATCATTGGTTGTAAGTTGATCTTTAAATTAAGTAAAACCTAGATGGATCCATTACTTGATGTAAAACACGTCTAGTGGTTAAGTGGTTTCACCAATGATCAAATGTTGATTTCATAAATATTTTCGATCTAATTGTTAAACCAATGAAAATTTGATTCATCTTAATTTGACTATCACTCAAGACATGTATGCTAACTAATTGATAACAATACTTTTTTATTGGGACTTTAACTGAAGATGCATTTATATAATAATCCATTGGCTTCATTCATCTTTAATTTTTAAATAATATTTATAATTTTTTTTAAAAAATATTTATAGACTACGCCAAGCCCTAAGAGTATAGTATGCTGAACTTGGCTCATTCTTATATGAGCTAACTTCATTAACTCCAAATCTGATAATTTATTTTTCTATAATAACAAAATAGATATATTATATATCTACTAGTTTAGGTTGATAACATTATCATTATAGGTAATAATTTCATAAAGATTAAGTAATTCATTTAGTAACTTATTTATTGATTATCCATCAAGGATATAGGAACCTTAAGCTATTTTCGAGTGAAGATAATATTCACTCATTTTTTTTATCTCAAAAAATTACATTCAAGATTTATTATTAAAGATGAATATTTATAATATGAAAGAAATTACAATCCTACTCTTCTATATTAAGTCGATCAGATTACATGATAATAGCCCTACTACGGATCCCATATAGTATTAACAAGTATTTAGTTCTTACAATATTTAACTCTTACACATCCATGTATTTCATTTATTGGTTTGCATTAAAATATATTCTGCGATATTTTAAAAGGACTCAATCAAGTACTTCTTATTCGGAAACACTTATTATTTTATCTCGATATCTTTGTTGATCCTATTTGGTTAAACAATACTGATAATAGAACATCTATATTAGCCTATATTTTCTTTCTTAGAGCAAACCTGATCGATTAGAGTTTTAAAAAATAAAATACAGTCATAAAATCTACCATTGAAACTAAACACTAAGCCATCGTCTCTACCGTTGCATAATTTGATTATGTCACTAATATACTATATGAACTTGACGTAGTACCACCTACATACTATGATAATGTCAGTACCACTTGCTTATGCTTTAAGTTGATGTTTCACTCTTGCATGGCACATTGCTCTCGACTTTTATTTTATTAGAGATAAGTTATCAGACATAACTACTTGCTTCGCATGTCTATATTTATGACCAACTAGCTGACTCTCTCACAATGTCTCTCGCTCCTAAGGTATCTCGATTACATCGTTCCAAGATTAATATTATTTATAAAAAAATAATTTAATAGGGGTATGATAGACGATCAAGATAAAGATAAATATAAAATGATAACTTTACATTCATTATGTATTCTAATATTTAATCGATCTATAATTAAAATAAAATTATCATATATATACATGATTTAAACATATGATTAAAAAAATCTCTTTTTTAAAGATATGCAAATACACGTTATCTCGAAATCGCCAAGTTTTACATTAATTCTTCCACGACAACCTAAAAATACCTGTAAAATATGATTCGAATCATTGGCTTAACATCCTACGAACACATGTTTGCTAGTGGATCCCAGTCCAGTCTCAGTCTTAAGAACAGTTTCTCACGATTAATCTGACTTTAAGTAAGCATTAATTTACCATGTTCTGAACAAATCTACGATAACTTTGCTCTGCTAAAGCTATTTCAAGCTGTCGTCGAAAAGTTGGAAGACATCTATCGATGTCTTCTTCGTTAAGAGTTCTGCTACATCTCTCTTCCCCCTCCGGACAGCGACCCCCACATGAATCGTAACGAGCCTCGGCTTGTTCCGCAGAGCGTCATACGTTACATAACTCGAGCTCTTCCAAGGAATCCACGTCACTTTTGCTCCGAATCCACCCGATGAACACCACAAGTGTCGATCTTCCCAACGCTTACCCCCATTTGTCTTTGCTTGCCTGCCATGGTGGTTTTGCTTCACAGAAACGGCTTCCAGAACCATCTTTGTTGTCTCCTTCGTAACGACGACAGGGGGAAGAAGCTTGTAGTGCGGTCACTTCCATGCTCCTGTGGTCGACCATATTTTATCTCATACAAAGGTAAGAAAATTTCATGCTGTGACATTGCACAAGAAGACCTATAAAAGGAGCCTTCCTGTTTTGGGTGGTTCTGCTCCTCCACCAAAGATGCTTGGGGTCTTCAGCGGCGCAGTGGTGAGCCCACCGGAGGAGCTCATCCGAGCCGGCCACCGCACCCCGACGGCGAAGAAGACCGCAGACAAGCTCCTCGATGCCTTCCTCAAGAACAACCCATCCTCCGTTGCCATCAACATCGGCAGCGCTGCACGTATCTCCTACAACCATCAAAACCAGTCCCTGCTACAACCAAGGTGAGGAGCACTACTACCCTTCAACGTATCATCTCTTTGATTCACCAACCACGCCTCCCGTCGTCGGTACTCGGCAGGTCGTTCGCTGTGAGCGACGAGATATTTTGCTTGTTCAAGGGGACGCTGGAGAACCTGCCGAGCCTGAAACACCAGTACGGTCTGGGGAAGAATGCAAGCGAGGTGGTGCTGGTGATGGAGGCGTATCGGGCACTGCGAGACCGCGCTCCTTATCCCACAAACCTCATGCTCGCTCACCTCGTAGGCAATTTCGCCTTCATCGTCTTCGACAACGTCACCTCGACGGTGTTCGCGGCATCGGTAAGCATCATGGCGCGCACGGTAGATGGTAAGGTGGTCACTTCTCATCACTCGTGTGACTTCGTCAGGACGGAGATGGTAAGGTGCCCTTGTTCATGGGGATAACCGCCGATGGCTATCTAGCTTTCTCCGATGACGCCGAGGAACTAAGAAGTGCATGCGGGAAATCATTGGCATCATTTCCGCCAGGTGACTCCATACTTCCTTGGTTAGTACGATAAGCTGTTCGAGTATGGCAATGGCTAACCAGTCGGGATCTGAAACAAGGGTGTTTCCTGTCGACGTCCACTGGACTCAGGAGCTATGAGCATCCGAAGAACAAGGTCACTGCTTTGCCGGCGATGGAGGAGGAGATTTGGGGCACAACCTTCAAGGTAGCATGGGACTGTTCAATTTGCCACCGGAAACAAAAAAATAGGCTCTTCCTAAATAGCATAAGTAGATCGATTGATTCGACTAAATGGATTGCAGGTTGAGAGACCATATCTACGAGCGAGAGAGAGGAGTGACACATGACCATGGGAAGGGCCTCAATGTCTCAATGGCCAACAGATACATCCTCCAAACGCCAGTAATAAATATGGCTACTAAGAATTATGTAGTGTACCTAAGAATAATATAATACCGTAAAAGATCGATGCGTTTAGAAGAGCAGAAGCAGCTTTGACTCGACTGACGCTTCACTGTCAAAGTAGCATTGGCACGTGAAAGTTCACTGTATCAGCTCCCCTGTTTGACAGAGACGGAGAGCTCGACGACCATCCATATACAAGGAGCACCAAAAAGATCTCAGCAGCAGGGCAGCATTAAAGAACTCCACCACCAACCTTGGCTTGGAGACAAAGTCCGAGCTCACAATGTGGGGAACAGAGAGCATAACATGCGGTACAACACCAGCCATGCTTTTTTTCCCCCTCGGGCATCATCAACACAAGCATCCACCAAGAATGGAAGACAGCTTTGAGGGAATAAGGACAAGCGACCAGTCTTCGAACGCACAGTTTCCATGGCGAACGCATTGCGATAGCCGAACGAAAGCAAGACTATGTTTTAGAGAAAAAGACCAACAAGCAATGACAAGGAAAAGTCGTCTTCTTGGGGGCGGCTCTTACAGCTCCGGAAAAACCCAAGAGTCCTCACTCACGAAGCAAAATTGAACGAAAATCTCGAAAAACACATCTCTTTCTTGCTGAGATAAATAATGGTAGCAGTGATGCTGGAGACTAAGCTGCAAAACCTTCACGCTATCATAGATCGAAGTCCATCAATTGGCTGAGGGCCTCGAGGCTGGGAAAATCATCGCCGACGATGTCGTCATCAAAGACGGGGAGGCACTCCAGCGGCACGAACTCCTCGTCGAGCAGCACCGACTCGAGAAACGGGTCCGACTCGAACGGGAACGCCGACTCCAACGAGAAGGGGGACGCCAGCTGTTGCTCCATCAAGAGCTCCGAGAAGCACCGCTCTGCTGCTCCTGCCGGGGCGGTCTTCTCGGGCGACACCTGGCTATACTCCGCGATGGCGGATGCGGAGATGTCGAGCACGGATGAGGGAGAGGGGGGCACCGCCACAGCCACGGCGTCGGAGTGCATCGAGGCACAGGATGACGTGGAGGTGGTGGTGGAGTTGGAGGACACGTCGGCGGCGAGGATTTTCTTCTCAGACTGAAAGCGGCGCGCAGCAGCCGCGTAAGCTGCGGCGGCTGCCTCCGCGGTGTCGTAAGTGCCGAGCCAAATCCTGACGCCGCGGATGGGGTCACGGATCTCGGCCGCCCATTTCCCCCAAGGACGCTGCCTGACCCCCTTAAACTTGACGGGGGAGGTGCCGGAAGTCGAATTCACCGAGCCGAGTGTTATGACCTTCGGCCTCCGGGAGTTTTTGGGTTTCCTTCCGCTGCTCTCCTCCGACGAGGCTTGCAAGAGCGACAAAGGGAATGTGGGAAGCACCGAGAACTCGTGAATCGCCCTCTTCTTTCGGCAGGAGTAGTTCATCCCCTCGTCGTCGCTCGACTCCGTGGCGTCGGGATCGTCGAAGACGACGCGGATTCTTCTTGCGAGTAGTCTGGATTGGAGTTGGGAAGCGGCTTCGGTTCGGTGGCGTTGCTTCTTCCCCCTCCTCCTCAGCGGCTTATGATGCTGTTTCCCACACAAGCGCTCACCGGGCGTCATTTCTCCTCTCAAAATCGAAAACAAAAAGGAAAAATAAAACGAAAAGGTGGGCTTTTCTTTTTTGGATCTCTCCGTCAAGTAAGGGTTACTCTCAAGAAGATGAATCGGAAACAACACAGATATGTATGCTGAAATCCGAAATACGTCACTCCAAAACCAGCCCTGCAACCAAGAACACCGAAAGCAACCAACTTCAGGCGTTTGCCCCGATGTTTGTTTCCAATCAAAGATCACGGGTGCGATACATCCATACCTTGCATATTGCATCGAATCCCTCCTCTTCGGCCACTGTGAAGAATAGGAGACGAAGTTGAGGATGAGAAAGAGGGAGAGACCAGCGATGACACCAGAAGCACACAGTAGCCGATCCGAAGCTCCCAAGTTTCCAGCACCGAGAAACAATAGATCGAAGGGACCAGACGACATAAATCCAAACCGCCCCTTAAACGTAGCTCGCGTTCCCTCTCCGCTGACTCGATCGCTTCACCGCTAAAACCCCACAGCCAAGAGGGAGGAGGAGAACGGAAGAAGACTGACGGGGTTGTTCGCATTAATAATGAGAGAAACCGAAGCAGGTGACGAAAACATAAGTCCGCAGAGGCGCGTACGGCTCAGATTTGTTGCCGAGGGCCCTTTCTCGTTACGTCACGAATCTCGAGTAGGAATCCATTGAGTTAACGGCTACGATGGGATTCGTAGAGATAAGGGAACGCGACGCCGACCCGGTCTGGTGTCCCACTGATGCTCGAAGACAAAGTGGGCCACGCATGGAAGCCTCCGGGTGGAGAAGTGGGTCCATGAAAACATCTCGGAGACAAACTGGGAGAATAAATACGCAATTGATGGGGTGATTAATTCGGAAACGGCAACAGTTGGAATAAATACCAACAAGGAAACCAAAACGTTTCCAGCGCATAGATTACCCGAGTAATTTATATTATTACGGTGATTAATTTGATTTTACCTTCTCCTTATTACCCCCACAAATAAGTTAATATTACCAATATCGAAAGTGGGAATTTGCTACTCTTTATCTTTCGATGGTGAAGGTTCGTGGACTCGTGGAAAGGACGTCGGTTTACTGTTCGATGACATGTTCGCCTTGTGACGGGGGTGGGTGTGATGAGGCCGCATGCGTAGACTCTTCCAACACAAAGAATGTCCATATTCTATTGGCAGAGCCCACATCTCAAGCAGGAGAGAAGAGATGAAGTCCCACGACTCAAGCATTACCTCTCTCTCTCTCTCTCTGTGCAGCAGTCGGGACACGCGGTTGGCATCACTTACCAAAGTCTTCCTACTAGAAATGTATACATGATTGAATCATTGACACTGGACAAATAAAATTTCAATCTATAATTCCCAAAACAAATGTCAATCAGTGACATCGGCAGTGGCTCTTTTGCTTTGAATGAAATTTCAATCTCATCAAACACATAAATTCCTATAACGTGATGGATGCAAGTAATCTATAGAAATTGAATTAATGTAATTTTGATATGACTGTTAGCACCAAACAAAATTCTATAGCGATAATTCAATCTCTAATCAACCATTACTCTCAAACTTCAAATGACGATAAAGTCCAATTTATCCTCGATCACGTAAGCCATGGACATTGAATGTAATTCCCGATCCACCATCTAAATTCTCAATCAGTATTAGTTTCCCGTCAAAAGGTCTCCTGGCTGTGGCATTTTGTCAAGCACAATACCAAACAGTCAAAAAAGTTGATGTTTTTGTCTTCATCCCTTTGTTGGTAACGTTCTTTTTCTCTAACAATCAGAGGACTTTCTCTTGCCATATCTTCCAATCATTTATGTAGTTTTCATCCATGGCAATGCGTGGGTTGTAAGGCTGTAAGGCAATAAAAAGTGGCATTTGAGAAGTTTCCGATGGTTCCAATCATTGACTCTACATGTTGAATTTTATGACATTAGGAAAAAAAATATCATTAACCTATTGGTTAGTCTGATGTGACCTTTGTATGTATATGAATATTTAAGATGTTTTCCAGATAAAAATATCATGCTTACGAGGTGGATCCATGGTAGTTTCGAGATGACTCCGGAGAGCTCCAAAGGTACTACCTACATTGAGATCAAGATCAAAAATAATTTTTTAAATCTCTTCGAAGCCTAAGTTAGTAATACGAGATCCCAAGATATAAGTTCGATTAATTCAAAAGAAATCAAAAAAAAAATTTACAATGTCCTTCATTATAATAAAAGATTTATTATTATCTTTCTTATCATAAAAAATAAGAAAATGTATACTTATCTACTTTAAATCTTTATAAACGTAGACGGAAGATTTTGATAACACATAACAACTGCATATTAACTATCGATAAATTCACTACCACTAAGCTACCCCAAATTTTCATAAGAACACACAACCATACAGCCCTCACGTGAGGCTCAATAGACGATACCACAACGATAAACAATAAAACTTCAATTAAATACCCGTTTGTAGAGATGAAGCCACTATAAAAAAGGCACGGCACGTGCGGAACAACACCTCGCACGCTCGGAGCGGAGGCCGTGCACGATGATGCCGTTTACTTCATTATTAGTGTAAGTGAGTCAGATGGTGTGTTTACGGGAAAAGACCTCTTCCTGGGAAATACGTGGGCGCACTTCCCAATCCGAGTTCCCATGTGCGGAGCACGTGAAAACACGCAGTCGGCATGCCTTCTCTCCAGTAAAAGAACATGTAAACTCAGTGGACCGGCCCATGTAGTGTAAATGAGCCCGTTTCAGACGGTCCATTTCAGAACGCAGCGATCAACATTGCAACAAGAATTGGGGAAGACACACCTGAGGAAGGAGATCCCTCCAGCAGCACGCAAGGAACAACGAAGAGAAATAGGGAGGCGGTGGCCCCATCGACTCCTCTTCGAACTCGAGACTTGGTGCCATCAGAACGAACGGCGATGATGGTGGCCAGTCTTCGATCATCCCCAAGCAGCGGTGGGATCAAGTCAATGTCCCCGGTCACAAGAAGCGACGAACAAGCAATCGGAGTGGAGAATCAGAGAGAGAGAGAGACAGAGAAGGGAGAGCACGGAACACGAAGCTTAGGGCAGAGTCTTATAGGCGCTACTAGACCCCCTAATCACTGGATGCCTAGCCGAAAGGAGACGGAACGACCGCGCACGATCCGGAGGGCCACCCGCCGACACCTCGATGAGAGGTGGGTTTAAAGTTTAAATAAAACGGACCGGGTCCAATTGGATATAATGTGAATTCCGATAGGGTTAGACGAGCCCAAATCCATCTGAATTTGGGTTAATTTGCCCGACCCAAAATCAAACCCGGTCCAAATCAGAAGCCATAGGTTCTGATGGGCACCAAATCCATCCCCAAGAAATCAAATATATAAATCTCATTTCATCGTCACAATAAGACACTTGACATGGTGCCGGAGCATCATTCAATATGTTTGGATCTCCTACGTCATTTAATATGATATATAATTGAGTTGTTATCACTATATCATGGTTATTAGGTTCACGAGAGTTCCATTGAGAAGGGCAACCACAGATTCATAGTACATATAATTCCCTACCTTTTCTCGTATCAGATGACATCAATTGATGAAGCGATTCGGATCTGCTGCAAGTTTTGGGTCCTTTTAAAATATATATATATATAATTCTATTTTTTCGAAAGTTTACAAACTAAAAACTTTAATGGAGAAAAGCTGGATGCGTCCGACATCGATCAGACGGCGGGAAGCGTCTCCGACCGCCAGGGGATATCCGCGAAGTCGGCCGGCGAACAGTCAGCGGCGTCAGCGTCTTCGAACAGCATCCTGTTCTCCGACTCCGCCACCACCCAACACTCCGACCCGATCCCGAACACTTCATCTGGCCACCCGTAGCCGTTGAACTCGTCGTCGAATCCCCACATCTGACCGATCTCCACAGCCTCCGTCGCACCTCCTTCGGTGGCGACAGTGGAGGCTTCCAACTCTGGGGCCTCGCCGCCCTCGACGGACGATGACGGAACCGAAGGAGGCGGCGGTAGGCCAAGCTCGTCATCGGAGGCCTCGCAGAGGTACCCCAAATCCGGCTGGTCTGTCCACACAGCAGCCTGCGACTGAGGCGGCATAGGCGACGGGAGAGAAATCTCCTCCTCCAGGCTCTTCATAACGGAGGCGAGGTCCTGCTCCCGGGCGCCTGCGTCGTCGTCATCAAGGAGAAGGTCATCGTGAAGGCGCTTGGCCGCGGGCGAGGAACTCTCCGGGAAGCCCTCCTCCTCGCCTCGGCGCCTCTTGTGTTCGACGGATTCCTCCATAGGAACTAAAAGGCCAAGCGTGGATTAGGGAAGCGATAGTGAAAGGACTACTTCGGCGTCGGTGTACAATACGAAGACAGCGGTAAAGCAAGGGGAGGGTTATCGTAGGAAGGTTAAAAAGGCAAAGCACTAAGCGCACGCGAGTCTACACGGCCGAGCGGCTGGGAGGGGGTTTATATAGTGGGAAAGGCGGAATTTTCGTTCGTGCTTATAATAGGTGAAAGTAGGAGGGCCAAAATGTTAAGAGGACACGTCCGCATCGAGCCGGATTTCAAGTCCGGAGTTGGCGTCCGGAGGGAGGGGACCAGCTCGGAGCCCGGCTTGGTCTTCTCAGCTCGGCTGGATGTTCTTGGAAGCCATCTCGTTCTCGGTGGGAAGCGTTTCTTGCGGCATTTGTTTTTTTGCTTTCTCGAACGGTGACTCACAAAAGGCCGGTAGGTGTCAGATCACGTGACGTACTGCCCTCACCGCCACCACAAGAATGGGAGTTCATTTGCGGGGCCCAGTCGTGAAGTCAATCAAATCGTACCGTGGGCCCAACAAAGGGAATAGGCAAGGAACATGGGCCCGCCGGTTCACGCCTACCGAAGGCTCCAGAGCCTTTAAGTGGGTTCAACCGGTTCGGTCCGAGATGGGCACCGATTAAGTCCATCGTAATCATGATGGCTACTGCCTCAATGAATGGGTGATGGCCACAGCATCCTAACTCGGCAGGACAGTTTGTCCGCCCGGACGACGAGCGGATCACATGGGAGAGTTGGACCGGGCGTCCGAACCTCCCCAGATTTCACCCTCCCATCGAAGGAGTCGTGCGCATCAATCAATCGCATCCGAGGAGCACGATTGATTTGGGAGTTCACATCAATGTGAGCCGCACATGATCCGAACGACAAGCCTGGCGTGTTTGCGGATCCGCCACCACGCAACGCAAACGCCCCAATCCATCTCGAGTCCGTATGCCGAATCACATCAAAAGAAAAGTCCTCTCGGTTCCTTGTGTACCTAAAATGGATAGATGTTTTGTATGTGGATATACAAATAATGACCGTCTCTGTCAACGTAAACCGAGGTTGACTCCTTGTTTCGTTGCATCGCAAAACGTGCAACAGCGTGAGACAGCCCCATCGAGGATTTATAGCTTCTCCCACCGCTTTCTCCTCGGTGCGAGGAAGGCGGTGACGGGTCACCAAACTCCAAAGAGACAGATATCAAAAGTGTTAATTAGCTTAATCGATAAAAAATTTAATTAAATATATCTTCTTCCTCTCAAGAACAGACTAATCCTTCTTTCTCTACCGTTGTTTAAACCTCGAGAGAAACTTCCTCTGCTCATTCTTCCACCAATCCATAGAGATGTGGGTAAACCGGGGACCTGTTGCGGATCGCAGCTGCAGCTACGTGTTCCTCGAGAAAGTTAGAGAATCGTCACCGGAAAATTCATCGCAGCATCCATGAAACCGTAAGTTGAGGCAGCTGCACATGCCGCCGATCATCATCCATCCTCACCATCAAAACTCTCTATCATGACACTCGGGGGTAGCTTCTCGGAAACCTAATCTAACCATCTGTCTTCAATAGACAAACACGATATTGATATCTTCTACAAAGTCCCACCACCGCCATGTCTCGCGAGGACTAGGATAAGCTCGGAGGTTCCAGGCAGGAGGGATATGAAGTGACTGGCTGACACGGTCTTGCAAAGGCCAAAAGGCGAAATAAACACGATGGTGTCAAGATAAACGTACGTACATTTCTAGCCGCATACGTCCCAACTGCAAGTTCGAGTCCGTATCAAGGAAATGTCCAAGAGAGAGAGAGAGAGAGAGAGAGAGAGAGAGAGAGAGAGAGAGGGGTGGGCATCAACTTGTGGCCAACGAGGCATCGTTGAGATGAGCTTTCCCGTGGTTGCGCACTGTGGCACGGAAGGAGGACACGATGACTGTTGGAGAGACCAGCAATGTCGGCTGCCGCTGCCGCCTTCATAGCAGATCGGAAAGCTCAGTTTACGGGCACAGTCATTTGCCAGGACATGCCTCTGCAGTCGGAGAGATTGGAGGTCATCTGAAACCAACCTGCCAGCTGCAAATCACATCTCGTGATCTGCGCCTGACAGGTGTTTTCGGCTTGGCTGAGCCTCTCACGAAGACGAGGGATGATAGACCAGCAAGAAACCCTTAGTGTGACTTCATCCTCTCCACCGACCAGTAATTAATCTAGCCGTCTTTATTCTTCTTTTAGTCACAGCACAGAAACTGCTCTCTTTTTGTTTCCTATCATTCTTCGTCAACCAAGTCGAGTTGGTGTAGTCACTCTTTCGCTTTAGGGGAAGGAAACACTTTTGATGGCTGCGACTGGGAAAAGGATTAGCATTAACAGTAGCCAAACGTTTAGTGCTTCGAGTTTTTGATTGGTAGCCGGAAAAGGAACTCAAAGCAGGAGGATTACAGCTGTGTTTATTGGTCTGCGAATAGGAGCTCGATGGCAGTGGCTTGTACATGCATCAAGATGCTCCGACGAGCGACATTGGTCGTAGGAAACAGGAAGAACCATTCTTACAATCCATACTGGTGAATAGAATGCCTTCTTTACATAAAAAGGCGTGCCTAAATACTGTTACTATGATCTCAAAGCACTCATATCTGATGCCACTCCACATGCTGCAACAAAGACGCAGGGAAACAACTTCGATCAACGCTAAAGCTGTAAAGCAAGCGGTGGAAGGTCGCACAGGCAAAGTTGGCATGCACTTCTCCATCTCTTGCTCTTCACGAAGAATAATTCATCACGCGAGAAATCTGACACTGAAACAAGACAAGATTCCCCTGTCTCCCTATAGTAGATGCAGCATTTTACAGTTGATATCGAGATCAACGTGAAGCATATTGTTGACTCAGAAATCAATAACGCTGTAAGCTCAAACACTCGTAATATGTGCAGTTGGTTGTTAATTTCCTTTCGTAATGCTGTCATGTACCTTCAGCCCTTCGTCTCATGGATCATTCAATGGATATCATTACAAAGATGGTGACCGGAAAATTGCAGCATTAATACAGAGCCACAGTACACGCACAGAACCAATTAATGACACCGTTTAGCTTCTTCTACTTCGGCTGTCGGTACAAAGAACCAAAGCCTGCGCATGCTGTTGGACAAGCTTCAGTTCAGCTGTCGGCGGCAAGCATGAACAGAAAAACCAACGCCTGACATGATTTCTCTCCTTCTTTTGGAACTACTGTTCCTCTCATTCTTTGTAAGATGAGCTCATATTGATTTGAATTCTACAACCATAGCAGTGAATTAAAATAGAGAAAATGGAAGCAGAGTCCGTAAGGAGCCCGGAAGAACCTCCTGGATCAAACCGAGCAGAGATGATACTCTCCGCCCATGAATCATTTCACAAATCATCCCTATAGATCTCTTGAGAAATTTCTAGTTTGTGGTAATATATTCCTCCCATTGTAAAGCTAGAATACTAGATACAAACATAGATGAAATATGAGACACAAGCATCAGAAGGATCAATATAAGAACGCATCATTTCCTGCTTTGCTCCACATCACCCATCTCTGAGCCAAAATGGAATCCCATCTTCCAGAGACAGAGAAGGTGGAAGAATTCAAGAATTAGAGCGAAGAAGAAGAAGAAGACAAGAGCACAAGAAATATCATTCTTCGAGTGAGTCACCTGGCCCTCAGCTCCGAGCGCTATATTTGAACAGAGCAATAAAAGCCACAAAATCAACCAAGAAACCATTAAAAACCCACTTCACTTCCAAAGCTGCAATCTTTCACCCATGTCTTGTTACTTTCTTCACTCCTTTTCTCTTCCTAATCTGTCTTGTCCTCTACTTCTTCACACTGATTCCTACTTTCCCTCCAATTTCCACCTTTAATTATTTGGCTGCTGCGTGTGGGATCTCGTGGATGTTTTGCAGCTCCCAGATATCATGGTCCTCCTCTTCCCAGAGCAGGCCGCCCGGCCCCTCACTTCCCCTGCTATCGGAGCAGAGGAAGTCTTCGTCCACGAACGGGAACCAGCCCAAGAGCTTCTCCTCCTCCACGCCCCACAGGCACCACCACCACTCTCCCAGCTCCGCCGCCCCGTCCCCCCACCCCACCGCTTCCTCCTCCGCCGGAGCAGAGGGAATGAAAGACGGCTGCCGTATGTCGGCGGCGGAGGCAGCAGCAGCAGCAGGGTTCTTGTCATCTCCTCCGCCCATCGCCGCTGCGTTCTCCAGCGAAGCCACCGCCGTCGCCAGCCTCGGCGTCGACGCCTTCTGCCTTCGCTGAGCCTTCCCGAAGGCTTCGGCGGAGGCCTTCGAGGACGGCATCGCGCCCTCTGCTCGACTTCGTTTCATCTCTTGCTTCCTGCTCGTTTTGCGTCACCGTGCAAGAGGAAAGGCTGCCGCAGCTGTGAGAGCAGCGAATAAGGAGGGCTTCTTTGGGTTCCTTTATAGCGAATGAGATCTAATACATGTGTATTTATCCTTTTGAGATATTGACATGCCTATCCTTCGACTGTTTGTAAATAACATATTAACCAATAGGAAGGCTTTTTTTCTTTTTTATTTTCTATCTAAATTATAGCAAACATTTCGTGAACGCAACAACATATTAACTGCTGCTGGCCGCAAACAAACAAGTCATTCGTCCAAGAGATCGTCTTGGCCTTCGCCTTCGACGCTACCTGCTCGCTTTCTTTCCTTCTCCGAAGGCGGCGGAGGGAGCGAAGAACAGTCACACTGTGAAGACTTCACCAGCACCGCTGAGCAGACATCCGACAGAGCACGTCACCGGGCGAGAGGCGAGCGCAGTCAAACCTGAAACACTGGGGGAGGGAAGGCGTATCTCCATCGCAGTCATCGTCGTGCCCACGTACGCTCGTGCCTATCAACATGGACACGAACGAAGGAGAGGCTGCCCTGCAACCAGTTAAGGATGGTTTCGTTCTTTCTACTTCTGTGATTACGTATTAGCACACTGCTCTGTGACGGGAAACCGAAACAAGCAAAACGAAAGGCCACCCATCCTGCTTTGTTTGCTTCCTTTGGACATCGAATCGATCCCTGGGGCTGTCACGCAGCTTCCGAAGAGGGTGATGGTGACAGGTGGTGCACAACAGCGGCACGCAATTAGATCCCCAGCCAAGTATCCTATAAAAAATTAATAGTATTTCAAGAACCAGACGGTATTTACAGTTTCGATCGATCCAAACTCTTTTTTTCTCTTCTCTATGCTTTGTCTGATTCCTCGTTCAACGCCACAAAGTGACGGAGCGACTCGAAACATATATTCTGATGAGTCTGGCTTCTGTGATGAAGTTGAACAAAGAGGCTTAGAGATGTATGATTGGCGATTTAGTTTACAGTCATCGTAAAGAAAAGATTATTTAGGAGGACACAGTCTCGTGAGAGGGTACAGTCACATGAGTCTGCCGTACTTCCGGCGCGCTGTCGACTGCATGTCCTCCGCCTGACTCCGCCGCAGGACCAGTACCCGTTGCAGGATCTGGGACATCAACAAGCGTGACACGAATCGCACGCCATTCGACCACATAACGCACCCTCGGTGCAGCAACTGAAGACCTCAAGCACAGTCTTCTTTGTGGTAGATGTGACGTCCAATCAAATGATGTATCCACAAGGAGAAGAGCCAAACAAAGAGAGATCCACCGTGCGATCTTTCAGTGCTCCCAAGGGCCGAGGCGAGGATAAAAAATCTGCAGCCGAAGTAAGAGCAGCAAAGAAGCCAAGCAAAAGAGAGAGAGAGAGAGAGAAGGGGGACAGGGGTGGAGGCAGAGCAGCTGTTGTCGGCTGGACGAATCGCATCGAAATCCGGGACGTTTCTTCAAGTTCATCGACAGAGATAAGTCGCCGTACGTAAAGGCAGGATACGATATCCACTTGGATTTGGTTGTATGCGCCGGACTGAGGCGAGCTAAGCTGATCAGGATACGATATCCGCAAGAGGACATCAGAGGCAGCTGTGAGAAGCATGCATGACAGCCTCGTTCTGTTCCTTCCCTCTGTGATTTATTTCCTTTCTCTTAATCGTGAAGGTGAAGCTTGATCAGCATCACCTTTGGTAATAGAATATTATAATATGATATATACGTGTATATTTATTAGGATGGATAACTGTTTTTAAAACTAAAATTAATTAAAAAATTATTCATACATCAGTTGTACTTACGGAACACCTAATCGACACATGACGATACTTATTCGGCTCCTTCGACTCCATTTGAGTGATACTTCAATATCATATGATCGATTCGTTGTTACGAGAAAGTCTGAATAAGGGTGTCGGTTAAACTTTACAAGATTAATCACATAGCATGGATACGAAAGTTAACTCGATCGATCGTTACATCATATCCTCATTCAATATATTTTTGATAGATACGGAAATAATATTTTACTATATTTAGAAACTAGTTGTCCGAATATACACTGAGACTCGGTCTTAATGGATTGCGTATCTAATCAGGATTAGGGATCTGAGAACCGGGAGGTTAACTGACTTAATGTTAATAGACACGAGCTTCATACTTTTCTCTTTCTCCTCCTTGAATTCCGACCACTGCCACCGAGAGACGAAACGCCTCATTAGGGAAGATGACATTCTCAAAAGTAAGCTCCATGTTTAGCTTCACCTACTACTGTGTTTGATGATCAGATCAATCAACAATGGGATAAAAAATATGGTCACACGAACATGAAGTTTGTGTCTTTTATTTGGGATGATGATTAATCTTCCTGACCAATTCAGGATCGTAATACGAAGATTTAGTCCGATGAATCGGTGGATCAAACCTAACCCAAATCCCTTTGTTTAATGGGGAGGTGGGGTCCAGTGCAACCCACACCATCTGGGTAGCTGTCATTCACGTGGTCACCTCGTCCTTTAGACCACCGCCAAGCAAGCTGAGTCACGCGCTCTCTTGTTCATGTCCACACCCTCTCAGTTGACAACATTGACCAAAGCAGATGGGGATTCCAAGCGCACACATAATGGTCCACATTGAGACCACCATCTTTCAATCACGTCACAGGGAAAAGGAACACTTGGGGTTCAACCATAATACGATTTATACATTACGTTATTAGTATTTACACATTTCATGACTCGGTGTTTGCAGACTTGGAAGAGGAAGAAGATATCAAAGCCACAACAATGAGCTCAAAAATCTCCTCTCCTCCCTCCTCCCTCCTCCCTCCTCCCCAAGTCTCAAAATCCAATGCTTGGATCAAAAACAAAACACCAAAAT